TTGTTACTCTGAGGATCAGATCGGGTGTGGTGGACAAACACTACAATGTATGCACCACCTGTGCAAGTGACATGGAAATTCTTTTAAGATGAGTTTAAGAATAAATATATTGGGGAGCAGTTTATGAGGGTGATGCTGTTGAAATTTCTCAATATGAAACAAGATGATCGAGCACTACATGAGTACGAGGCTGAGTATGATAAATTGAGTCGTTTTGCTACTGAGGTAGTACCCAATTACAAGGCTAGACGTGATTGGTTCATTGAAGGTTTGAGTCCAAAGTTGAAAGAGATGATGTTGGCTTTAAACTTACCCAGCTTGCAAGAAGTTATTAACCGAGCTAAGGCCATTGAAAGAGCTCAAGAAGAGACTCTAGCAGCGGAGCAAGGTTTGCAGACGAGAAAAAGAGTTAGAATGTCTTAAACTTCCCATCATTCTAAGAGAGGCAAGGGTTCGAGATCTTGATATAATAATAAAGATGGTTTTGTTGCAACTTCCCAGAAGAATAGTCAATCACAGTGCTATGTTGTTAACTTGGGTAGAGCGTTTGGAGAACGAAATACTCCATGTTAGACATGTGGTAAGTCGCACTGGGGAGTATGTAGATTACTCTCTTCCTCTTGTTTTCATTGTGGTGAATCTGGTCACTATGCTCAAAATTACCTAAAGAGATCTAAAGATAGATCATTGCAAGCTGAGAGATTAGTAACAACATCTAATAGAAGCAGAGTAAAAGGAAGATCCAGCGGACAATCTGAGTCAAACTACTGATAAGAGACTCTGGGAGTGGTCCGGTGTTCCTTCCTAATGCACTGTGCACCATTGTTTCAGTTGACAGGTTTGTGGGACCTCATGATTAATAAAGTTGTATATATAGATATATATAGGAATAATAGTAGTATCTTTAATTTCTATAAAATTTGAATTTATAAAGTTATTTTTAAATTAATTATATTTCAATTCTCAATAAAAAAATCTAGTGGTTAAGGTTCACCTTCTTTTTTTTAATCGTGTTTCGAGCTTAATATAATTTGTATTAAAAACATTAATCACGTTTTTTCTATATTAAATTTTAGCATTATTTATTCTATTCTACTTAATTAAATTATTTATTAAATATTTAAATCTAGTAAGTATTTTTAATTTAATGAATATAATTTTTTTTCTAAAATTGCCAATAATCAGTGGGTCTAACGGTGATGAGATACAAATACTAGATTCTTTAAACAATGTCATGTGTTCGAATCCTGACATTATAAATAAAAAATATTGAATTGAGATGATCGTTGTCCTAATAGATCCTTATAATACATTCTATGAATCAATTAATTAATAGATTGAAAATCAATAGATATTTAAAATGTAATGATAATAAAAATAAATTTAAATATTTAAAATATATTATTCTTAGAAATAAAATAAATTTAAATTATAAATATTAAAATTCAGATGTATTTTCTATGCAAGTAAAGTGTTTTGGGGTTATAAACACTTGACAATTAATATCTAAATATGCCTCGAGTAACAACTAAATTATTTGAATTTAATATATTAGGTGTAACTACATTGATATAATTAATATTTGTTTAATCTAAAGGTAGTAAACAAAATCTAATAAATTTAAATATTTAATATGAGTTGCACGAATCAACTTACCTCAATAGTTAAAAGAATCGTTATTGTTCCTAGAGGTCACGAGTTCAAGCATCAGCGTATGCACTAAGGTGATTGAGCAGTCAATGTCAAATAATTAAGAGTATTTTGAACAGATATTACTTTATAATTATAATAACTTAATTAAAGAAAAAAATATTTAATATGAGCTAATTTATAGATAGATATAATCAAATCAGGATAATATAAACATTGTATAAAAAATATTTGAATATACATGTTTCCTACAACTGCAATATCCCAACTCAAAAAAAGAAAGAAAGAAAAGAATCTAGCAAAAAGATAAATCAAAATAAATAAAAACATGGATAAAATATCTGAATTCATACCGTTTTAAAGACACAAATCCAGCGAAAGGAGACGTGGACTGTTTCACTAATGTTCTAGAAACCTTGGCTCTTATTGAGGGCGTCCCAAAAAGACCGGCCTGCCGAATTCGATCTATAATTTATTTATGATACTTTGATTCCAATTTATTTATAAAATAAAATATTAGATCTGATTCTGCCAACTTTTGGGAGGTAAGTCTCACACTCTATTAGCCCCACTGATCAAATATGATATTCTAGAATTTGTATATAAATAAATTTTTGTAATAAAAAAATTGTTATTATTTCTTGAAATTTTAAGTTTGAGTATTATAAATATTAGGTCATAACAATATAAAGTTCAAAATTAAATTATTAAAATTTATCTTTAAATAAATGTTATCTTATATTTATTTCAAATTAATATATATATATATATACACATATTATAGCTTCAGCCGCTCGCCCCTTGGTTTTGTGGAACCATGTGGCCATTCAAATTCAAGCAAACTATTACCTAAAAAAATAGTAAAAATTAGACATGAATAAAATTTAGTTTGATTTAATAAATATTTTTAAAAACTTAAATTATTTAAGCTAAATTATTTGAATTAATTAAACTAATTTTTTTTAATTAATTTAAGTCAAAGATTGAAATTATAAAGATTGAATAATTAAATATTTAAATTAATACCACAATTTTGAACTTCGTTACATAATTTGATTGTATTATAATCTAATTCTTAATTTTTTTTATTTTTCTTTTACTGTAAGTCAAATTAAACTATATTTAAACTACTTGCTCTTTGGTCATTTTACAATACTTGTGTAATTATAATTTTTTATAATACCTTTTTTTTTTCTTTTTACAATTCAACATTTGATTTTATATTTTATTTAATTTGATCATTCGACTATAATTCTCTATAAATTATTTTTCTCGTTCAATTTGTTGACTCATTTATATTTCTATCAATATTTTATTATCAAAATCTCTTCATGAAAATAACATTAAAAATATATTAGAAAATTTTAGATGCTATTTGATTTGATTTATTAAATGACTTTATAAATCTAACTTACATATGTGAATATATATATATATATATATATATGCACGCGTATTATGATTAGAGAGAACCGATAAATTGAAACTAAATAGTATCATAGCATTTTAAATAATTATATTTAACTTTAAACAACAATTTTAAAAATATTTTTTATTTGACTCGAATCAAATTTAATAAACATGATTTAATAAAAATTATATAAAATTTGAATGATAAAATGATATTTATAAACACGATTAATTAAACTTAATATAATATTCACCTTTAATAAGGATATATTACTTAAATTTAATTGAAAATATATAAATACTAATTAAACTTATTTTTTAATATTTAAATTAAATTTCGAGTTTAAATAGAAAATTGAAAGAAATTTCAAACCGCAATTCAGTTCTTAAACGGTCTTCATGATCACTTGGATTAATGGCATTCAACTACCCCGCACACAGATAGTGGAGGAAAAGGATGAGAATGATATCTTCGTTGCAAGGCACCAGGCTATTTAAAAGTAATTTATTAAGCGGTTAAATTATTGTTTCTATTTTTTTTTTAAATAATGGGTATGCAAAAATAATTATTAGGATGCACTTGACCCCTATCCAATAATCATCCCAAATTATTAAAAGTATATATATATATACATTACAAGGCATTAAATTATTTGAGTAGAATATGAAATTCAAATTTTAATATGGAAATAGAGAAAATTATATTAAGAGAATTATCTTTAATAAATATTTATTTTATTTAATAAGAATGAATCGATTAATAAAATAATTATAAAAATATTTCAACTAATAAATGGTTGAACTTTTGTTTATTTAAGGAAAATGTTGATACCATTCTATATAAAAACAATTATATATATGCACAATGAATGTAAATGGTAATAAATCTCGTCTTAAACTCATTTTCGAGTATATTACTTGGAAATTAGCACAATAAAAGGAAAAAATATTTTAGCATTTTTGTAAGGAAATATTCATAGACAATATACATTTTAAATACAAACTATTTTACCTATATTATTTCCTTTTCTTCTTATGAAATATTATCACATCACCAAATAAATTTTAAAAAATATTTATATCTATCACTTGATTATTTTTATACGATTCATATTTCATTGATCAGATTCTGACAATAATCCTTATATTTTAATATATTTTTTAAAAAATATTATCGTACTTTAATTTTTAAACATTAAATTTTTATATTTTGTTTCAATTTTAAAATATCGATCCTATTCAGGGTTTTAAAAAACGGTCCGCGACCACGATTTCGGCCGCGATATAGCGGTTTCGTCGCCGTCCGAGTTACCTGCGACGGCCGCAAACAAGACAAATCTGAAATAACCGAAAACGCGACCGCGACTTGAAACCCTGTTCTTATTATCAACGATATCAATTTTTTTTTGTCAAAGAAATAGATACGATGCGGCGAAATAGAATGGATTTGATAAGTTTTAGTGGTATTAGTTCTCCATGCGGTGTTGAATGTTAGGTCGCTAATCGCTATTGTCCTCAAATATAGACATTATGTGTAACAAAAAAAAAAATAGACATTATGGAGTTTCATTAATGAATTCACACATTAGAGTATGAGGACTAAAATTTCAAAATTAGATTAAGTATAAGGACCATTAATAAAATTAAACCCTATTTGATATTCTGTCATCAGCTAAAACAAAAGGCAAGAACAGCTGATTGGGGCCGAGCCGAGCCTGAAAAAGTGGCTTTGGATTCTAAAACATCTTCTAGAAGCTTTTTAAGTAAAAACAAAGAGTAAATCAATGATGTCGGAATCAAAAGGCAAAACCAGCAGACAAACCACACCACTCCCGGTTTTTTCTTTTAATTTCCTTTTTTGCAAATTTTGTTTTTTTTTTCAATTTCCAATTTTCTCTGTCTTTTAAAATCGATATTAATATCATCCAGCTTTTGACCCCTCACGAATATACAAGTACATTCAACAAACGATCCATCTCGTTGTTCAATCCCGTTGTTTGCTGTTTCGCGCTTCCCTTGCCCCGATGTATGCTACTCTCGCTTCTCCTTCCGTCGCCGCTAAACCCGTCCACAGTTTCTCTCCGAAGAAGACCGTGACCATCAGAAACTGGGCGCAGGCGGCGGCGTCCTTTAAGTCGGCCACCGCTACGGACAACCACAACGCCTCTGCGGCGGCGTTGGCGGGGAGTTTGTACGAGATACTCAAGGTGGAGAGAACGGCGTCGTTGAACGATATCAAGATGGCGTACCGGAGCCTGGCCAAGGTTTATCATCCCGACGCGATGGGATCCTCATCGAACGGTCGTGATTTCATCGTGATACGCAACGCCTATGCAACATTGTCGGATCCAACGGCTAGAGCCGTGTACGATATGTCGTTGGGGGGACGTGTCAGGAGTCGGGTATGCCCGACCCGAAGATGGGAGACCGATCAGTGTTGGTAGGTAAGAAAGGGAAATCTTTTTGCATTTGTTGTAGATGTAATTTGGAAGTGGTAAGGCACATAACATAAAATGGCAATGACAATTTATTAATTACTGTAAATATCCTTTCTTGTTTGTTGTGTTTTATCGGCGGGAATTCTGTATATACTCTTTTTTTTTCTGCAATTATCTTACATATTTTATTATGAATTAATGGTTATTGAATATTTTGAATTATGCTGCTACAGATGATTTAACTTCAAATTAAAAATAAAAAACATTTGTTATTTTTTATTTATTTATTTTTTAATTGTAAGGAGGTATAATTCATTTATAAAATCTAATTGCTAAAATATCTGGGAATAGAAAACTGGAAGACTTAAATTCTCGAATAACTCTAATAATTGTTTTATGGGTAAACTACGCCAATAGTTATTGATGTTTAGGTAAGTTTTTGTTTTCATCACTAATGTTTCAAAAGTTACAAATAGGTCACTAACGTTATCTTTTGTGACAAAATGATCACTGGTCGTTAACCGTCGTTAAGAGGCGTGACGAAAAATACAGCAGAACTGTTATCTGTTGAGTTGGATCGTTGACCGCCATTTTAACTGACTTTTTTTCTTCTTCAACTTATTCCCTATCTTCTTTTTCTTTAATTTTCTTCTTCTTTCTTTCTCTCCACTTTTCTTCTTTTCCTCTTATCACACACGTTGCTACCAAGAGTGATAAAACCCTTCAGCATTCTTTAACATCTCAAGAGTGATAAAACCCTTATGTATCATAGTCTTACATTCACATAATTCCCATCCACTCCGGGAGCCCTTAGACATTATTTCACAGCCAGGATCATAGTCTGGGCACGGACTGTAGTTTCTCAGTAGTGGTAGTCCTAAAGATATAACTGACGTTAAATCAGAGATGAAGCATGCTTCATATATTTGCAATAATTTTTCTGGACACCAGTAGTTGGGATGTTGTAGTTGAAGACATTAGATATGCTAATTGAGAACCCCAAGCAGTTTCTACAGTTACAGAAATTCCTCACCTTAACTTGATTCCCTTTCTTGTGCAAATAATTACGTCTCCAGAAAGTTACATATATAGTAAGTTTGTTAAACGAAGCTCCTCAATAGAAAGATAAATATTAAGAAAAAGATACTTAAAGAAATAAGAAACTAAGATTATGATAATAAGAATAGATGGGAAACCCAATTCAAAAGCTCAACCTAGAAGACCTCCAATGTCCCCAATAAATGCCATTGGCAATAATTCCTCGAAAGAATAGTCCTCTTGACCACTATACAGGATGAAATAAAGAGAATAAAATGTTTTGAAGTGGTAAGCTTAAAGCTAAGCAAAATATCTGTGGAGTTAATGTACAAGAGCTTGAGGAAGATACTAACTCAAATATATCCCATATGATGAAGCCACCAGAACCAAAATGACCACAGTTTCCACTTTTGCACCATCCCATAGCACCACAACAGCCACAATCGCAGAAGTGAAAAAGACACGCCACATTAGTTAACTCCTCCACCTTCAAAGGAAAAGATCCGATACTATGAAGGTTAGAGTTGAATACAGATGTATGCATAAGCACAAAACATATAACCATACATATCTATATCTATACTTACACATGAATGGCAAGGAAAATATAATTGTTTAACTGAAGATACAGATGGAAATAAAAGAAAATTAATTAGAACAGTTAGTCCTAACCTAAACATGCTTGTGCATATATTTTAAATAGTAGTTAAGAACATATCTTCTTTACCAAGATGTAACCTCCTCCAATGCAAATAATACACCTCCAACTGGAGCTCTAAAAGCAGCAGCAACTCCAGCTGCACAGCCACAGGTCACCTTTTCGAAGCATTTCATAAATAAATATACAAAAATCAGAGGTATGTAACCTTTATTGTTAGGAAAAATGATAGAACGTAATCAAATATATAAGTTTCAATTATAGCAAAAACCACTAGAAACACAACAAAAATAGAGTGAAACATATACAGAAACAATTCCAGGGAATTCTCGGGTGGTGTCATATTGGTACTTTATTTGGTGATGGAATTTGTGTAAAGGAGTTCATTATCTGCATGTAAATGTGAGGGCAGTTATAGTTTTCTGGAAGCGATATGAGGGGTTCTCCAAAGTTGTGGTTTGAACGGGGCAGTAGCTGTTCCTAACTATTTGGGACTCATTACATTTCTGTCTCATTCTAACCGAAGGCTAAATGGGCACTTGAGCTTCTTGTATAAAACTTCCAGCTTAAGTGTAGTGATAGCACTTCTAAATTCTGCAACGCTTTGTGCACCCTTACCTGTGTTCTACACAGAGGCAGTTCGATCCATCCTTCTGAAGTAATAGTAAATGGTTGACAGGTTTGGTCTTATTTTGTTTCAATTTTCTTTCAGTTACAAGGGTTGGTTATTGGTGTAAGTTAGGGTCGGTGGGTTTTTGGTTAATATCTTGTATCAAATATCTTGTATCAGATTGTGTCTGATTAATTTGTGTTTGTGCTTGTTGCATGGAATGCATATGAGGTGGAGGAAACTGTCCTTGCAGCAGCATAGAGGCAGGCTTCCTTGGCCTATTGGAATTCACAAAATTTATTATCTGCTTCTCATATGAACTCAACTTCTCCTTGAAAGGGGGTGTTATATTCTCTTTGGGAATAGATAAGAAAGCTAAAATGCACTACAACATGGTCTTGAAAAGTTTCAACTTGTCAAGCTGCTCAGACTTTGGATGCTGTGGATTAGAATCATGCTGGAAAATAGAACACAAAATTGTCTTAAGCAACCCAAGTAAAATTGCAAACCACTATTCCACCAGATAAGCATAAGTGAGACCACTAAACACCGTCTAAAGGAATAGGATTCAAGAAGAGCAACACAAAAGTGGGGTGGGATCAAAAGCTTTAGCATAAATTAGTGACTTGCTCTCTAAATTTTGTTAATAGATATAGCAGCAGAGTATGATGCAGAATGGTTTTATCACTCTTGAGATGTTAAAGAATGCAGAAGGGTTTTATCACTCTTGGTAGCAACGTGTGTGAGAAGAGGAAAAGAAGAGGAAAAGAAGAAAAGTGAAGAAAAGAGAAGAGAAAGAAAGAAGAAGAAAAGTGAAGAAAAAGAAGATGGGGAATGGGTTGAAGAAGAAGAAGAGTCAGTCAAAATAGTGGTCAACGATCTAACTCAGCAGATAACGGTCCAGTTGTATTTTTCGTCACGCCTCTTAACGACTGTTAACGGCCAGTAACCATTTTGTCACAAACGATAACGTTAGTGACCTATTTGTAACTTTTGAAATATTAGTGGTGAAAACAAAAACTTACCCAAACATCAGTGACCATTGGAGTAGTTTACTCTTGTTTTATTTTAATGAAACTACTGAATAATATTAAAAAATTGGATCGAAGTAATTGTTATAATTATTTCTAGAGTAAACTAAAATGGTTACCTCCGTTAAGTTTATTAAATTTTTCATCAAGAGTTCAAAAAAAAAAAGATTTTGTCACTTTCATTTTGTTTTAATCAAGAGTGGGTCGTTGAAGGTTAATGACCGTAAAACCTTTAATGGTTTGTTGATGTGACACGATAAATATATAAAACTAAAATTACATAATTTCTATTTAGAAAATATGTGGATTAAGTTTTGATCATTTTTCTTTCATATGTCTACACTTTTTCCTTACTAAATTTAAAGAAATATAAGTTTTGATCACTTACGCTATCGTTTTATAAAGTTTTGGTCACCTGCGTTATCATTTTATTAATCACTTGGATGTTAAGTGTCGATTGATTGATGATGTGACTTGTTAGTAAAATGATTTAATTTTTATTTTAGCCTCCCACTTTAAACAAAATACTGATTACAGGTTTTTTTGCATTCCAGTAGAGGGCTCGTGTGACTAACCTGCAATGAGTTAGTAATCTCAAGTTCAACATTAGAGATAAATATCTCAACGAAAGTGTTAAGAATACCCAGATTACTCTTTCTAGTATATCGATCACCTTGTTTGCCAGAAACATCAGGATATAAGTCAACTAGTGCCAAGGTACTTCAGTTGCTAACTAGGCGCAGATGTCCCAAGCGCTCACAAGGAGTAAGTTAGCAGGGTGTACGTTCTGATATAGTAGTTCCAGAATTCCACCCTAAGTACTAAGGTAACTATAGCTAAGATGGCAAGTTACGAGTCTTAAGGTGCAGAGAACCCTTCGATTTCGTCTTGATACATTAGTGCATTCGTAGTAAGTGATTTAGCTAATTGAGTGAAGCCTCGTCAGTGATGTCTTCATGTTGGTATATGAGCGTGAGCTCTATATAACACATAGCATTATACAACGTTGTGTAGTACCGTGGATTTTAGTACCTGAGATCAAAGGAAATAGAGTACGTTAAACATTGTTTGACTATCATTAGTTGTCATCGGATAACTTAATGGTGGTAAGTGATAGTGAGTGTAAGACGTAGAGTCTCAAAAACCTTAAGTCAGAGTGTGATTACATGAGATCTCCATTTTGTAATGTGTGCTCTCCAGGAGAGTCAGATGTTGTTAGTTCCGTTAGAAAAGTGACCGATTTCCAGTTATGAGTACCTTAGATATGCGATTTGATGAGTAGAGTTTATGTAAACAAGGCAAATGAGAAACAATCAAGTAGCAAGGATGAGTATTGAGTCAAAGTTGCGTAGCAAAAACTATAGATCGACATTAGGAAGTCAAGAATTGTTATCAAAGCTTCATTAGTTGACATCGAGACCGTGTATGACAAGTGTTCGTAGGACCACAACATGTAGTATGTCGAGTTAATCAAGTCTAATAAGTAAAGAGATTTATAAGATGATGTAATATGTTAACTCGTTTGAGTAGAGTTAGTCAGTGAAGGGTTTAGCAATACCAGTTAGATAGTGGAGTAGCATTTTCCTACTGAAACATTTCGAGCATACATGATTAGACCAAACGAATGCAATCCCTTAGCTTTCTGCCTCTCGAAAGTTTTCGTTTAAGGT